GCATCTAACCTGAAGGAGTCTGAGACATCTTTGTGAATCATTCATTTAATCATTACCTACAGTATATATATAACCATAAAGATATAAAAGAAAACTTCAAAGGGAAATAGTTCCTCTGCTAAGGGTGGGTAAGGCTATGGCTCTGGGTGAGGCTCTCCTTTCGTCTCCTCAAAGCAGTTTGTCTGACAAGGCACTAGGAAAATATGCAAGACCACCCCAAAGTATCACAACAGCTTATGGACTTGGAGGGAACATGAAAGAAATACCTTTGATTTTTTTCTTTTGGTCTAGTGTCGGGTCTTGCAAAATGCAGGAAATGCCTTCTCATTAATTACTTACTTTCATCATAAGGGCATTCACTACCCTGGACACCAGTCAGATCAGTGAGAAGTTGTTATAAGTCTGATGATTAGAAATAACTTTCCTGGAATCCTTTCCTCCTTTTAAGCAACTAAGAAGACTGCTTCTCTCTTTAGATGGATGTTTTCAATGTCTGTTTAACTGCCTGCTTTCAGAAAAAAAAAGTTTCCAATTTTGACTATGTAATAAAAAAGCAGTGGCTTCAGTCAGTGACCAGAGCTATGTGTCCTTACTGCCTCTACAACAGGAGGAGCTTGAGAGTATTACCAGTCTCTAAAGACCAAGGCGTTACCACCAAAATACATGTATAGAACAGACGCTGAAACAGGAAACAGACACCCACATAAGAACATTCATAGGTCACAATGGTCTGATCCACAGGTGAAGCCCTTCCAGTGAGCTACACATTTTTTCTCAATTAACTGCCTAAGCATTCCTCAATCTTAGTCCAACACACAGCTGTCCGACTTGCTGATACTTCGATCAATCACCTCTCTGCCCGTGACACCCCAGTGATGGAGGGATGTCAGATAGCCCTGCCTGGGTGGGAGAGCCCTTAATATACAGGACTAGGCAGGAATGGAAACCCACATTACCTCCTGTCTCGGCCCAGCGGACATCTCCACCCACATATGCTCCTCCTATTGCTTCTAACCCAGAAGAGTGTGGTGAAATATCCTACCTTTGGAACTGACAGTTACTGACCAGAGGCCTTGTAATTATGTTCTGTTTGAGAATGATAGTGGTGGGGGGCGGGGGGACTTTCCGTTTTCCTGAGTGCACGGGAGAACCACAAGACTCCCGGAGAACAAATTTAATAGCCCCCATAACAGACCTGCTCGAAGACATCCAGCTGAGAGCATAAAAATGTGTACTTACCCTGGTGGATGCAAACATTTCCTCTGCAAACTAAATGCAGAGTTTTGGTTGTACATGCATCTTAAAGAACACTGTTATATAACTCCAGACATCACATTCCTCTACCTAATGATTGAGAAAAACAGATTGTGCATTATAGAGAATTTGGGCTTTTTAATCCAGATGGGACCTGTAACGTTAAAGATTGAAATCTGAATTTTATGCTATATGAAAGCAGGTAATCTAATTTGCTGGTAGCTACCAGAAAGGCCATTAAAGTTAAACCCGATGTCTTTGAATGTTTGGGATTTTGGATAACACTCAAGACAACTCATACATTAACAACGCATCTGGCTAGCTGCCTTTCTCAATAGCAAGTATTATAAGTTTTAAGAATGGGAGTAAGACATTGGCCATCTTCAATCACGCATGACCCAAGGCCACGATGCTTTAATAGAGTTTTTAAAGAACTAATCCCCAGGCGTCCACCTTGGCTTCTGTCCCAGATGCTCTGACCTAACTGTTTAGAGGCTGAAGCCAATGGAATTCACCACAATGGTGCTGACAAGCAGGGTAAGACTGCAGTCATTTGAAGGATCTTTACATTTTAAACCCATGTTAAAACTAGTGAACAGATTTTTTATTTCTTTTAATTTCTTCCAAAACAAGTGTGACAACTAACAGGTGTAAAGTCGATGCATTGGCAGGGATTCCTCTGCTGTACTTCATGATGTCTATTTGGAACTTGCAGAAGATTTCAGAAAAGCTGAGGAGTGACTTGCGGATGCTTCGACGCAAACAGCTGGGCTGCTCCTGTTCCCCGACTGGTTTTAATTAAGGTGGTTAACTGGCACAGGCTACCACCGAGAAGAAAAACCACCACAAAACAAAAGCATTTTCAGGTTTTACGACCACGGCTGAATTCATCAAAGCTAAAGAAAAACAAATGGAGGGTATGGAGTGGATTTATCGACATTATACCTCGACATGCTCACAGTCAGCATGTTTCTGAGAATGTTTCTGTTTAACTCGAGGGAAGTAAAAATACTGCAGTAATACTCTCGGTGCCACACAATATTGATGGTTTTTTTTGACCTATTTGACCTTACACTGAAGTCACAGCCATTTTTTTTCCAGTACTGCCCCAAACAGCTACAATGAGGACCCTGTTCAACCTCACACCTTCACATTTTCACACACTTACAATTGCTGCAATTTAGGGTTGTTTTTACATATTGAGATAAGTCCATCTGAAAGAATGAGTATCACCATTATCATAAAAATGGCCCTTGTGAAGTGTCTGTTGCACACAATGCCCTTTTTTGATTAAGCTAGATATTACCGACTACAATGTTTGCAAGTCATTCAAGGACAAGCCATATATTTCAAGGCCAATCCTCATCCATATCACAAGCAGTGTGAGCACAAGTTTATGGTCCCCAAAGTGCACAGAAACAATTGATCATCCGTCAGGCCTATTCAGCAAAATGTCCTCCCTGTCTACTCAGCATCTACAAGGGGTCTCTTCATAAGCTTAAATCGAGTTACTGGTGCTAAATGTTACACTGGCTAAAGATACTGCTCTCTCTTACTAATCATTTGAGCTCAACTTTTCCAACCGTGTGCCATTTCTACTAATTACCAAAATGACCCATGCCCATCCATGAAAGGGCCACTTCAGCTCCGGCAGCCATAGACCTGGATGCCCCAGTGCCAAAGAGTCAGCATGCTGGTCAGCATAAGTAAGTCTGGACCTTTTTTTAAGGGTTAGACCAGCCAGCTGGATCTCGATATTCACAGTCCCTGAGAGGGCTATTTGCCGCCAAGTACAAAGTGAAGAATTTGACCAAAATGCTGTTTATACTGGCACTTGTGCACCCTCTCTCACAGCTTCTCCTGTCCCTTTCCAAAGGCAGTGGTACTTCCTTAACCCCCTTAACAAATGCCAGCTGCTGGGATTGCCTTTTGACACAAATGTTCCTGTAGCAATCGCATAATACTGAAGGTCATCCTTTTCCACCTCAGATCTTCTCCAAGCCATTGATTACTGTTTAATACACATCCTAACATTCAACAATGGATGCCAAATCTGATCGTAATGCCAGTGAAACGTCAAAATTTTACTGCCAGATATGTTGAATTTTGGAGGACTTCTTTGTGCTTCTAAATTGATAGACTCCGGAGACTTTTTTAATCAGGTCTGTGAAATATAGCTTTACTGTCATCCAAAATTAAGCTAACATAGTCTTGCTACTGATGCACTTCTGGGGCGAAAAACACCAAAAATACTATACCATATAACAGACATGACCAAGGTTGTGTAGGGGATACAACTGTGTATAAGTCATGGCCATAGTAAATTGAGAGCAAGAATGAAGACTTATCAGATTCAATAATTCCTATGGATGTGTTCTTGCCAATCAAGCTTCAGAAGGAAACATTGAGATATGCCAAACAGCACAAGCCCAAATTGAAAATTAATAAATAAATAATATATATAGACACATGCACACATACATATGTATATGTGTATCTGTATACGTGTACAGATATATATAAATATGTAAATATATATACTTGTTTTTTTTTAATCCAGATTGATGTGTATCGTCATTGCAGCTCATTATGAAGATGAATGAGAAATTCGGTTTAAGATGGTTAATGTGCACTCCAAAACAAAAAGCAGTTCCAAATTTCACATAGGGTTTCAATGAACAGACAAACGATTGCACAGATATGGAACAATCTGTACAAAAGCAGAAAAAAGAGAGGATGTTGCGAAATTGCACAGGCCTCCATGAAGCAAAGGGCAAAAATTCCATGCCAAGGGTCACTTGCCTCATGATATGATGAGTCTATTATTCAAACAGCTTTACCCTTCGGTTTTGATTGACAAGCTACATCAGTTATTGTCTCACCACACAACAGGTTTTCTTCTCATCAGGAGAATGTAAATTGTGAAGTGAGTCATTCTGTTTAAACAGATCTCTGTATGGGAGACATCCTTCCAATTACTGTGAAGGTAAAGTGCCTACGGGGTGAGCAGTGGAAAGGTGGGAAGTCTATGGGCCAATTCAATGATCCCCACCTAAATCACACCCCCAGGATTCCATTGGTGGGGTTTCGGTGGAAGGAGGAGGCCCCAAGACTGCTTCACTATCCCTTGATGCTTCTTACGCTGGTACAGCTGATCATGACATATACCACCTGTACCCTCTACATGGTGCCCTGAGATTGGTAAAATAAGTATGCAAACACTCCCAGGTTTGTGCATCACACCAAGAAATACTGTACAGGAAGGGGTTTAAACATTTCGATTAAGGCAAAAGGGACATGAGCTAATTATTATAGCAGGAAGATAAGTGAACAGCTGCAAGACTTACTCGATAGTGAATTCAGATATGTTAATAATGCAATATGACAGACATTGTACAGTGAGCTATTCCAAAAAATCAGGCAGCTCAGTTAGACGGTGCAAATAAGGGTCACACCACGTTTATCAAATGTTAACATAGTAAGAACCACTCAATTGCATGGCAGATCCACTGGGTGGAATTAGTGACCAAAACCCTGTCTCGAGACCATCAAACACTGCATATTCAGAAATACGGGAACACTTACAGGAAACAGGGATAACTTTATAAGGATTTATTGGTGGCTGCATACTGTGCTGCCCTTTGTAACGAGTATTTGTGTTCCAGTATCGCCATTTTAGGTCTTAAAAAGCCTGCTCCGATTGAGGTAATGGCAAAGCCTTAGTACAGGGACCCTACTTCACATACCTTGGATGAACTGCAGCAGAAATAGGGGCTGCACACAGACAGAAAGCCCTCCACAGGAAGGATTTGAGAAAGTCTGGAGTCAATGTAATGCAACTGGTCTAGCTCTGCAGGCTCGGGGGTGTAACCTTCTCCAGCAGGTACGTGCACAGCCCACAGAGTGGGATCTACCTGGAAAAGAAAAAAGCAAGAAATACTCAAATGGTGGAAATCCTTTAGTTGTCTTGTAGGCTACAAGACAGGCAACCATCATTACAGTTTATCAGGACATCTTCTGTGTAACACAAAACTACATTGATTAAAAGATAATGGTGATAACAATAATCTTACAAAGCAGCTTCCAAAGCTACAGCATCAACCACAGTTCACCATAAGCAATTTTGTTTACTCACTACTGAATTGAATTTACTCACCAGAGAGTAAACTGCTTTTGTCTATGACAGAGATTAAGGAAAATTTGTGATTTGTGTAAAAGTGTAAGCGGTGTTCACATTACAAGTTAACTGTATTTATTTTGCTCATTAATATATTTAGTATTACACTTAAACTTTGACCTAGTTAGTAAAATATAGATTTAGGAGTTAAATTAGATCTACTGGAAGCATTAAAGTTTCTCTTGGAGCAGCATTCCAAGAACATTTTTTTTCTTGCACCTGGCATTTGTTTTGGGAACAAGTGGAGAAGCTTTGTGACGCAAATCTGACCAAGGCGTCTGCAAACACGCAAAATGCTGAGCACTTCAAAAAAACTGAGACATCGATTTGTGCTCCGCAGTGAATGAATCATTCGTCAGTCTAACACAATATCCCATAAAACGGCGGGTGGCAGCTGAGGTCACTTGGCCCAAGCTTGGTGTTGAAGTCAGCCCGCCCTTCCATAAAGCTCAGCACTACTCGTTGTCACTTCTCTGGCAGAAGATTTCAGCTTCTTTTCAGCTGCTGACCTCAGTCACGTAACCACACACTTACATCTGTGTTACTTACTGACTGCAAATATACTGTGGAAAAAAATTATGAATCTTTGATGTACTCAAGAGATTACACTGCTGATCCATCAGCAGGGATGAGATTCTCCCCTCGGAGTGAGTGTATTATCATGTCCTCACCAGCAGATGGAGGTATAATTCTATTTTATGACCTACAAGTTCAGACAAAAAAAAAATAAAGAGCTACACAAGACAACGACAGAAATTGTATATGCAGTATGAAATAGTGTATATAACTGTTTAGCACCATTTTTTGCAAGTTATTCATGATGATTCATGATGGCATGATGGAAATTAAACACTTTTTAGTAATACTTTACCCTTTTTCTTTTTAATTTCAACAATGGACAGACTCTGTATTACTACATTTTGTATAAGCACTCCTTGGATGACAGATTTATATGCCCTTGCAGGCACTGTGACTGAAAGATTGTATATTCTACCTTATTACCCGAAACAAAAACAGCTGAAAGCCACAAAAGAGGCACACAGGGACTGTTCAAAAGTGTCTGTTTAAATTTGTCCTTGGAAAGTCAAGCGGCCTGTTTTTACACACTCACTGAATCTATTCATTTAG